ACAGTTTATTCCTTGGCATCTCATCTCCTAAACTCCTACATCTATTCACTGAGCCTCATTGCTTCTTACTCATTTGCCTCTCCTTGAAACAACTTTCCAATGCATAGTTTTTTGCTGAAAACTAAATATTAATTTTGGAATACTTTCATGCAGTATGACTGAATTGTTGTGTCCAGTTTTATAGTCTATAGAGTCTGAATAGCTTTTTCAAATCGAAGATAGAGAAAAGACCATTTTAAAGGTGGGACTAGTGACAAATTATGGTGTATATTTCTGCTATTGATGGCCAAAGCTCTGTGTTAGTGCTGCCCCGTTTATTTAAGTGTCTCTTGTGAATTGAGGACCTTTTTGATAGCAGGACATTTGTCAGATTATTTATCATTTTATGACGCGTTTTATATTTCACCCAGGATTGAAAAGGTGTTAAGTATCATCCAGTCCTCCAGACAACTGTGTAAAAATAAAAATCAGTCAGGTGGGATTTAATAATCTTTTATCACTCTCCGTCTGTTTCTTATTACCGTAAAGTTTGGAATAGTAGCATAGACAAATACAAAGTGAGTCTGTATCTCTGATAGTTTAAGCCTCAGCAAAACCTATTTCAGTTGATGGTGTAGTGAAGATAAGTCCTTACCAAAGTCTGTAGAGCCATGGCTTCCCCTATTTATCTGTAGATAATGCAGGGCCCCCCAATAACAACTCATACTGCATACTCAATTCAAAACAGTATATAATGTGTTTATCTCAAATGTACTTGTTAACAGTACATATGATAATGTCTATCGGCTTAATTCTAATTTAAAGTAGTAAATGAAGCAAATAAAGTATGTAAAGTTAATTTCAAACTCAATTTTCTTTTATGCTTGTTGCGTGGACATTTCAGGGCCCCCTGCACTGCCTCTTAGGACCCTCAAGGGGCCCCGGCTCCCACTTTTGGAATTACTGTACTAGAGGAAAATTGTAAATATTATTTGCATGTGGAATATGGAAATACCATACCAACAGACAACTCTTTGGTATTCATCATCAGTGAGGTCAAAATTAATTAGCATCAGTCACCAAAATGTACTTTTACCTGCTTGTCTTGTCTCCATGGAAATGTTATTGAAATTAAATAGTATGGCAACAAATGCATCTTATCTTTAAGGAGTCGAGCAACAACAAGGCCAAGTTACATGTAAAATCTATGGAGTGGCATGTCGGCTCACTGTAAGAATGTTTCTCAAGGTAAAAAAAAAGTCGAATGCCATACTGTGGAAGTTGGAACATTCCAGGCAAAGCAATCCCCCTCCTGATAGAGACAAGCAGAATCAAAAATCAAACAGTTTTTCTATTTTTACTCATTTACTAAAACATTAAATGGTGGAGAGCTGGTTGCTCTCTCTGTAGGTCAAAAGGTCATTTGGCATGGCCGCGACTCATTTCCCTTTTCATAATCCAAGGCTCACGACATCTGATGCAGCTACAGATCAGGGGTCAGTCCAGACTGAGCCAAAGTAATTGATCCTTCTTAACTACTTCCACTGAATTACTGCAGGTTAATACACACAGAGATTACTGTAGTAAAGCTGCTATCCATTCACCTATGTACTTAAACAGGAAGTTAATTAATTATAGGCCTATACAGTGTGTAAACAAATCCATGTAATTTGTTTTTATATTATTACCATAGAAAAAGCAATTACCACCCAACCAGACCTCCAATTAGGATATCCATATTCATTGTTTTTTTGTTTGTTTTTTTGCTCTTTGCCAATGTTTTTCTATAACATTTGTTTTCTTTTATTTGGTAAACGCCTACTGACAAAACAGTGAGCATCATTTTACATTTGGGTGGTGATTTCATGATTTGGCCCTGGAGTAGCAAAAGCACATGATTTGCAGGAGATTTAATAGCTTTTCATTTAATTGATAGATTATATGTCAGAAGATATTAAAACCAAGCAGGTGCACACTTTATTTAGGATGCTACACTACAAGGTCACTCCACTATGACTATGGAATATATCTTTATTGTTGCTTCATGATTCATAACTTAAACTTTGGTGTTCCAGTGGAGTCTATCTGTATAATATTGTATAGTATAATTGACCTCTAAAGAGTAGATTGCCTCTCCCATTTTAGCTTTGCCTTTGTGTTCTCATAGCAGTTTAAGCCAAATGCAGCCCCCCATTATCTCTCACTGTAATGGACTCTTCCTTATGCTGACTCTGTGCCAGGGTCGTGCATCAGGAGCACAAGCACAGGTTCGCTGATGGAGTCGCCGGGCACAGGGGCAGCAGGCTCTCTCTGCCAAAAAGCTCAGGGCGCCCTCTCTGTGCCCCAGGCCAGGTCATGTCTAGGTGGCTTCACTTACTGACTAATAGGCTTAACCTGATAGTCAGCAGCGTTCATTTAGTGATGGCACTTCCTCTGCTGAGCCAAGGAAGTGCACTGTAAAGGATAAAGATGAGCATGCAGTTCCCTCTACCAAAATAGAGATGTTTTTTTGTGTAGTTGTTAATTAGGTCATATCATTTACTTTGTTGGTGTGTTTTCTAATTTTACACATTTTACATTACTGGTGACATTCCAGGCAAAATAATAACATCTCCATGGAGACAAGCAGATGGCAGACCCTCCACTTGAAAAGTTACATAGTGCACCTTTACTATGTGTATGTGTGATGAATGGAGTGAAAAGAAATGTAGATCAGATTGGGCACAGGGAAGTATAGTTGTTAGTACTACCACTTCTGGACGAATCAGGGATTACATCAACTAATTACTACTGTTGTTGTAGTAATGTGGTATTATCATAGTTGGTGTTGTATTTTCAAGTTAGATAAGGGTCACTATATTTTCTCGAGAGAGAAATTTATCCTGTGCATTTGACCCTCCCATTAAGGATGAAGTGTTGAGTAATATTATTTCAGTTACAGAACAAAACTTTAATCCAAATTAAGCAGTGTTTGCTTGATTGTAGAAGGGCTTTTGTATCATCTCCAAATGACTGACTGAACTGAAATATCCCCAGTGAATGGAGTGGCTGTGATTAGTATTCTGAGTACCACGTTGGTCTGTATTGATGTGGGCCATTCAGGATTCATTCATTAGATCTTAATCGCTTTTATATTGGGCCCGGTCATAGAGGACCTCTCACAAAACTTGACAATTTCTGCTATAATTTCCATGGAAAGGTTAATCTGGAGACAGGAGATTGATGACTGGAGTCTTGACAGACCCCAGAGTGGAGCTGCGAATGGAAGTCCTTGACAATCCCAGCTGCATTGTAAAAGGTTTTTCCCGTTCTTCTTGAAATAAAACATGGCGAAGAATAAAATGACGTACTCTGAGGGTTGTGTAATAATATTTAATCACATATTCAAAGATAATCCCCTAATTAGCATATTTGGCTACCCTTTCACCTACACTAATCTACTGGGGTCAATAAATCGGGGTCTGTGGAAGGAGATTCAAGATCACTGGGATTATGAGGGATATTCGTAGGCACTTTACCCTTGTAAAGAAAGACTAAATTATGTAGTTTGTATCTTGAATGTTATTGAGCAAGTTGAAAAAGAGTTACTTTCACATTTTTTTTAGCAATTTTAAAATGATTTTACTTCTTTTAAGAGATTCCTGATTTAATTCCAATATACATTACCTCTTCAAGCCATTTCAAGCCATGTTTTTTCCTGTGTTGGGAAAATTGTAAATTCACCATTGGTCATGAAATAACTAAGGTATAAAAGCTATGCAATGTAACCACAAAATAATTAAAATCCAGGATATTAGGAATTGAACCAAAGCAGCTCAATTTTTGCACTTATATGTATGTAATTCAGAATATTGATTAATTGTCACTCCAATACAGATGTATTGCTATGGCATTTTTTCTTTTTAACAGTGACAGTTCTACTAATGAAAAGGTCAACTCTAACTCAAATATGTACGGACAGTACTTCTGCTATTGCTTTGCTATTGCTTTTTATGGTCCTGGCTAGGAACAATAGTCTTTTTGATAGAAGCTGACGGCCATATTAAATCTTAGCCCATGCAGTGGGACCCCCTGTAGACCTGTTCACTATAGAGAAAAATACCACTTTGTAAACTGTGTGGAGATGTGTCTCGAAATCAGTGGTGTGGGACTCTATGGCGGTCCTTTGGAGATCTAGTTTGGTATTTGTAAAGCAATTTGAAGCCAATGTGGGAGGTGCAGTTGGACTTTCTTAAAGCAGTTACTGTGGAAAAGCTGAGAACAAACAAACTGATGATATGGACAGGATGAAAACCTGAGATGACTGTTATGATATTGTGATGCTAGTGGCATTTTGAGAGATTTCTGTATCCTTCCTTTGCATATCTACTTACATTCATTCAGTTCATTGGGTTTCATTTACTCATTTCACTTCAACCCCCTATTTTAGGACTTTGGTCTTTCCTGAATATCAAGTATCAAAGATTAATTTACCCTCTCTTATTAGTTTTCTCCATATTTGTTGAATTAAAAACATTAATTAAGCCCAGTTCCATGAATTTTGATGTGCAGATTTGAAATAGCTGGCTAAAACAAATATAGATGTTACCAAGGTTTGAAGTGAAGAATTTGATCTACAGCCAGATTTGGCCTGTTTACATAAAACTAATTTGTATTCCCAAACCCACTTACAGCTTTGTGAGCTTCATTTTATCTCATACCGTCCTGCAGTTCTCTGTACATATTATTGCTTCAGGGATATTTCACTGTTTTATGTTACAAACTGAGTTATATGTGACGTCTAAGAGAAAGCAATATATAAGAAGAAATGAGACAGCAAATTATCAATAGTAAAGCTTTTTAAACCACTTTTGAGGTCAGTTTTGTCTTGAGTTCATCAAATTGTGTGAAGTGTGCAAAAGATATTTTTCAGAAGATGACCTCAAATATTTCTCAGTTCCAGTCTTGTTACCATCACTGGAATTCTAATCATGCTGATATTTTTTCCTTTTTCTGACATCTACTTTCTCTTCTGTCCGCAGATCTTGGCCATTATATCAATCCTGTTCATCGTGCTGTCCACCATCGCCCTGTCCCTCAATACTTTACCAGATCTACAAGTGTTGGACGAATTCGGTCAGGCCAATGACAACCCGCAGTTGGCCCACGTGGAGGCCGTGTGCATCGCTTGGTTCACTATGGAATATCTCCTCCGCTTCCTCTCCTCTCCCAACAAGTGGAAGTTCTTCAAGGGCCCACTCAACGTCATTGATTTGCTTGCCATCCTGCCCTACTATGTGACAATCTTTCTGACTGAATCCAACAAAAGCGTGCTTCAGTTTCAAAATGTGCGGCGTGTGGTGCAAATTTTCCGTATCATGAGAATATTGAGGATCTTAAAATTGGCCAGACACTCCACAGGCCTCCAATCTCTGGGTTTCACTTTGAGAAGGAGCTACAACGAACTTGGTTTACTTATTTTATTTCTCGCGATGGGTATTATGATCTTCTCGAGCTTGGTGTTCTTTGCCGAGAAAGATGAAGATGCCACAAAGTTCACCAGTATCCCCGCGTCTTTCTGGTGGGCCACTATTACAATGACTACAGTGGGCTATGGTGACATTTACCCGCAGACTTTGCTTGGTAAAATTGTAGGGGGGCTCTGCTGTATTGCGGGAGTGCTGGTAATTGCCCTCCCAATTCCTATTATTGTTAACAACTTCTCTGAGTTCTATAAAGAGCAGAAGAGACAGGAAAAAGCCATCAAGAGGAGAGAGGCTCTCGAAAGGGCAAAGAGGAACGGAAGTATTGTGTCCATGAATCTGAAAGATGCTTTTGCTCGCAGTATGGAACTCATGGACGTAGTGGTGGAAAAGAGTGAGGAAAAAACGTTTGATAACCACCTGTCGCCAAGTCGCTGGGGGTCGGCAAAAAATGCGTCATCAGAAACTAGCCTAAGGTCCCCAGATAAGAGAAACCCCGAGTTGTCCCCGAATCGAATAACTATTATCACATCAGGAAGTCCGCAGCACGAACACAGGACCCCACAGCATCTTAACGCCCAGAGGTTAGAAGAAGTGTACAATCAGATGACAAAATCACAATCCTTCAACAATTTAAATACTGCAAGTTCAATGAGCACCATGAGCACAACTATGACCGGACCTGGTTCACCCAAGAAAACCCACAGTCCAGAATCCACTCTGAAGGAGGAAGTGGAGCTGGAGATGACAGAAGTGCAAAAGGCATGCTGTTCTGAGGATTTTCTGCATCAAAAAGATGGCATTGAACCGTGTGAATTTCGTCCAAAGCTTCCATTTTTAAACCTGGGTCATCTGGGTACGGCGGACAACCTCTATCAGTCTGAGCTCCACATTGACGAAGATGGGAGTTTCAATAGCGCCATGGAAACGATGTCTCCAAGAGGAAACAATCCTCTGAAGATAAAAGGTTTGACGGTAAATAGAAACTCGGCAGAGGGTCCGCTGACACCCCCCAGCACTACCTCTCCTGGAGACATCAGCTCCAGCATCATGGAAGACGAATCACCCGATGGAGAGATGTCCCCGCTCATACCATGTTCGGATGAGCTTGTTCCCATCGCGGAAGAGGAGTCATTATCCCCAAAAAGGCTGGTCGTAGACACTCCACCTGGCGACGAGGACCCGACTACGGAAGATCATCTCATGGAGGTGGCAGGTGCAGTGGTTGGGCCCCTGTCACCCAAGATGGCAGCACAAAACTGCACCCAAGCCGTAGTTGGGGCGAGCGGGGAGTCCAATAGCAACCAAAGTGGACACAACAAAGTCGAGAACCACATGTTTACAACGGAAATCCATCTGATACCAGGAGATGGCAGTCTTTCTCCGACCTGCGAAACCAGCATGTGACAATAAGGCAATTTAAAAGACTTAGGAACGCAAGACAAGGATGCAGTAAAAGATATTTTTGCATGGCATGACAAGTCCCTTTTACTTGTGTTGTGTTTTGCTGAAGAAGAGAAAAACTGAGGTGCTTATAAAGGCTCTGGAGAAATAAAGGATGTCATCAATTGCTGTAGGTAGACTCACGGCCCTCCTGATGTACATAATTATTTTCTAGCAAACTTGAGGAAGGGAGACTTAACTGTACAAAGCATGCATTTAGACAAAGACAAGATATTTTACGGTGCTTAGTTTGCTGAAAGCGCTCCACTGTAAATACCGGGACATCAAAGCCAGTGACAATACAGAGGATGGTAAAACGAAAAGACTGTTGATGCAAGTACAAATATTTGCAATGTGAAAAATAATGTGAGAGGGTGGTGGGTGGGTTTGGGTAGAAACACACAGAAAGCCCTCAGATTGGGTGTTGCATTGTAGCGAACTCTAAAATAAAAACATATCATTACTTTTTGTGGAAATGCAATGTTCCCATGATGACCTTGTAATGCTTTTATTTTCGTTTAGTGTGGTAAACAGTCTATGAAAACTGTATGAAATGTTTTGGGTTTTCATAACTAATTATTTAGGTTGTGCATCCAATTATCAAAGATCTTGACAATAAGGATAAAAAAACTTCCTTCCTTTTACTCACATTTGTAGTTGCCAAATATATTAGCAGTACTTGCAAATAGGCTTTGGACAAGAAACTACTACTTGTTCAGCCCGACAAAATATATAATATATAATTTTTATCTTTGGCATATTGTATCAAATAGTGTAAAATACATAGGTCTAGATTGGTCATAGAAAATTCTACATTAACTAGACTAAGAATTTAGCCAAATAAGACAGCACAGTACACCTGGACAGTAATCCTTTTGCTCTTGTAACGCTTCACTAAAAACAAGTAGTAGATAATCAACTACAATAGAAATTCCTTCCTAGTGGCATCAATGGACCAAATGAAGCACACTGTCAAGCTCTTGTCTATCTCAGCTGCATAGAAATATATAATGTAAGAACATATACAATGACATTATTATTGTTGATATATTTTGTTTTTCGTTTTGCATTGATCATATCCTCGGCACCCTGATGTCAGTTTTGTTTGGTACTACTGCGAGTTTTCTCTGATCCTGCTGATCAATTTGAGAGCATCTTTTTATTTTGTATATGTGTTTGCGTCCTGGACTGTAATTTATTGTGTTATATTGTGAACAAATAACGATTTTCAGTCAAACTTAAAAACCCAAAGGAGTTTTATTTTTTTGGTCTTTTTGCTCACTTCTGTTTTACACTGACTGAAATATCTTGTCTGTATGTTGCCTTTGATTCCATGATGATTGAGTTATTGCTGGAATGTTGGTTCTACTGTTTTAGCATGACACTTTTACAGTTTGTAGGAGCCTCACAAATGAGGAAGGTTTTGATCGAATATGATTGGATGGTTCTTGTCTTTTGTTTTACATTTCTTTTTCTTACTCAAGTCATGTTTTGTTGTCACAGAAAGGTGTGGAATGTGCAATCTATGCAGGCCAAGAATTGTGGCACTTTATTTTCTGTCTATGGGATTTGTAAGTGTACAGGCAGAAACTACTTGTATTTTTCAAATGTTATATCTTTAATATGAGGCGAACAGTATTACAGCTACCAGAATCTCACAAACAATGCAAAATCTGAGTTTGACTTTTTCGTATTGATATTAATTGACGACAAATTTGACTATGTATTGATCCAAATTGACCACTAGGGCCTTTTATATTATAGTTGGATTGAATGAACTCCAACTTATGTCTGTCAAAAATAATTTTAATGGCCACACACAATGGATTTTATGTTTTTTGTGAATCAATGTTGAGAATGATTCTATTTTTTCTAAAACAAAATAGAGCACGACCACAATTTTTCTGCCATATTTGGTGGTTGAAATGCTGCGTGCCTTTTCATAAATGTTTATGAGAAGGTAGCAAGTCATTTTTGCTTTGTTCATATAGCACTGTACAGAAAAAAAATCTAATTTTATAGGAGAAATCAGGTCTTTATGTAATAGATAAAGTAATGTTGTTGAGTTCTCAGGTTTTCTACAACTCTCTGAATTGGATAGAACTCTGTTTTTCTTTCACAGCTTTTTTGAATAGTGATGTTGTCAAATCCACATTGATGTCTTGGCTCCTGGAGCAAAGCACTCTGGGTAATATGTGTACTACATTCACTATCCACCCCATCAGTCTTCAGTGAGGCGAGAAAGGAGCACAATACAAAACTTCTGGCCAGTAAGAGTTTGAGATTCCCATAAAACTCATGCAAGAATAAACAAAAACACATTTGCCAAGTGACAAGTCCATGTGATTTCTCATGCCGACACTACAGCTTTAGACTAACCACATTGCATGCCCTCCAGTACTGTGTAAGCTGATAAATAGAAAGAAACCACCTTCTAAATTATTGCATTGCACCACTTGTGGCCCATTTTGTGTACATATATTTCAACATCAATCAAGCATATCGTCAATGTAAAATCCCCTCATTTCAAACTCATCTGACCTTCAAAAAAAATTCTTCTTACCATCTGGGTCTGTTCAGTTTTACTTCCGAGCCCCTTTTGTTTGTCGTTATCACATCTCCACGTAGGCCCGGACCCATCCTTCATTCTGACAGCCAGGGCGAGAAGAACATACCATTGATCGGCGAGACTCCCCTGGGATGGCGTTTGTGTGGGTACTGAAATAAATAGTGTTGAAGATGACAGCAAAAATGGGAGTGCGCTCTGTCTTACTGTCTCAGCATTATCCAGCCCTTATCCCATATGGAAAGGTATTCTCCCTGAGAGAATGGGTATTGTCCATGTCACTGATGCGTGCTTAACTGAAACATCCCTACAAAGCATTAAGCCATTGCATTCTTCTTCTTATGTTGTATTTTGCCTCTTACATTATGTTTTATTTGTTCATTATCTTATCTGTATTTGACACATTCAGAGCTACAGACTGTTTTTTTCTGTACAAAGCAACATCATCTTTGTATGCATGTAGTAGTCTGAACAATTATGTGACCACACTTTGTTATGGTACATGTATGTCAACATTTCTGTAGAGCATTGTTCCCCATTACGTCTATTAGCATATGCAGAATAACAAATAAATGTGTATATAACTTGGGTGTGTGTGTGTGTCATACTTATACAGGCACAGCTGCACTATCATGGCTCATATGCTCATTATGAATCACATACTAATGTAAACCTATTAACTTTTAAATGATTGTAGCATGCTCCAATTACAACAGACATTACAAAGCACTGGAAATGAAAAGCTCAGAGCTATATGGCTAGTTTGTAAATTATTCATTAATTGTGTGATACAGTTTGCTAGAAGTAAGCAAACAATCACAAACAGTAATTTTAGACATTTTGAGATTTGATACTTGTGTTATAAGCTAAGACTAAAACTGGGAATTGGGGGACTATTGTAAGAATGATTATTTCCTTGTGTACCTAAACTCATTATATTAAAGAATACATGTGGTCACTTAATGAATCGGCCGCAGAAGTAGCCATGTTTTTTTGATAAGACCTTTTTTTTTTTTTTTTACTGTGACACGCCTGAATAACATAAATTATGGCCTTATAATAACATAATTGTGCTTTGGGGTTGTAAATGTGTTGGAAACTATAGGCCAACTTTTGGGTTTACAAATAGGCCTATTGTTAATATATTATAATAATACGTACAACAAACATGCTCTGTGTAACTTTTCTGGTGGTAAGCCATTTGCTTGTGTGCATGGAGAAAGTTCCACAGTATGGCATTAAACGTTTAAATTAATTGCAAACAATTAAGCAAGTGACAAACCTTAACACGTCAAATCTGTGGATAAGCAACAAACAACTCATCACACTAAGATGAGACACAAAAACACTTATAATGAAAGAAATGCTCAGTAGATAAGTTTAATGCCATATTGTGGAACATTTCAAGCTAAAACCTTTCTGCAAATTTAATTAATGATCATGATAATTATGTTTAGGCTCCTTGGCTACTAATTAAAGATGCAGAGCTGTTGTCGCTCCAGGCCACAAGAGGGCGCCACTGGGGGAATCATGTGGAAACAAAAGCAAGGAGGAAACAGAAGAAGAGCGGATGCACGACTGTTTTATTTTTGAACATGGAGCGAGAAAAGACTGAGAAAGACATCTCAAAAACACACCAGACTGTGGAGGAGGACTGCTTCTCTCAGGCCAGCGCTCTGGTTACAGACTGGATGTTGGATTTTCTGTTCGTAACTCTTTGCCGGAACTTCAAAGATGCGAATCTGGATGAATTCAACAAAAATCTGTTGTCTTTTCAAGGTAAGAAGTAGCTTCGGGCATATCGATATGAAAATATGTATTTGTTTTGGCAGCTCTACTATGATGCACAGACGGCTAAATATTACCATTTTATGCACAGTGTTTATTATTTATTATGAGGCAGGGACAGTGCACAATATACATTAACCTTAACAGGAGAGATACATTGTGTCAGGTTTTAGCACTAGAGCATGTTTTTTAGGTTTGAAGTTTAAAATGAACTGAATACATGCGCGGGTCAGTGACGTTTTACAGTTTTCAAATGCTAAAATAAATATTGTTAAGTTATTTTCAATGTAATTAAATAAAATTTGATTGATAATGATGAAAAACACAAACTGAAATCTACAAATAAACAGTAGGGCATTAAAAAGTTACGGCATTAACTCTCAACTCTGGTACAAATGTTAGAAAAACATTTCAAAATTGGATAAAACCTAAGCATGTTATTGTCACTTTCTTATTTTCATTACCAGTTTCTGATTTTCATTGGCTGTTTTTCAGGATTTTTTTTTTTTTTATGTATTATTGCTTTTCGTAGTTTCAAGTTATTTCATTGAAAATTGTTGATTTTTCTTTCATTACCAGAGGGGTACCAACAATTTTGTCCACGTCTGTATGTATGTGTGAGAATATAAGTAAGTGAGAGGGCCACAATGAATAATGTCTTGATCGGCCCCTCATACATAACAACAAAAATAAAGTTGTATATAATTATATGATGTTTTTTCCACTATGACCATGTATCAGAATACGTTACAAAATACATTTTAATTTAGGCATTTAGTATTCTAAATTCTAAATACATTCTCAACGCATTCTTCCCATCACTGTGTATACAGCCTTGTACCTAGTTTGCCCATTTCCCCATTTTAAAGTTTTCTATGTGAATTCCCATACCAGAAGAAAGCAAGATAGTCTGCAAAACAAGAACCACTGCCATTATCAAATCCAAAATGTCACACACACGGCATAGCTTTTCTGTTGGTTTTACATTACATTTCTTTTATAAAATAAATAAGTAAGTCTTTCTATAAATTGAAAGCAAAACATTAAAACTATTAATTTAGGTATTGTTTACATTTTGACTTTTCCCCACTAGGCCTGTCACGATAATTACCATATTGACTTATCGTTCAATATATGGAAGCTGGAACAATGTATTTTGGGGCTCAATATCGTGTGTAGTCTTTTTTTTTTTTTTTTTTTTATTTTTACTTTTTTGCGTTTTTATGTAAGAAGGTAAGATTCGAACTGTAGACAGTTGAATAAATAACTTAACTGATTATTAATTAATTCTGTTATTCATTTGTTCAGCTCAAGTATTTTTAATGATACAGTATATTAAAAAAACAAGTTTACTGGGACTATCCTGCTTGATTTCAGTGGCATAAAGTAGTTTCAATATATCGTTTATCGCAATATTTCTCTGTAGCAAATATATCATTCTTCAAAATGTGTTATTGTGACAGGCTTAGTCCACACTAATAACTAAAGTCTTGGCTGTTCATGATTCTGTGGTGTAAATGTCAGCATTACATTTTTTTCATTTAGCCTACAATTCTTTCTTTTTTTTTCTTTTCATTTAGCAATTTCGGACGATCTACCACAGAATGAAAAAGTTTTGATCTGTGCCTTCCTTTCCAGAATCATGCATGGACAACAGCTGGGTAAAAGATGCTATTTAGAAATGTATACTTGATAAAGATATATATTCTGTTTTTGTGGAAATAAACAAATGTCACTTTTCTCCAGATGTGATATTTGAAGAAGACAACAAAGTGTCTCCACTGATGTCTGCCGCAAAAATCTGGAATCACCTCAAAGAGACAGTGAATGATGAAAGTTTAGCAAGAAACTTGACAATACTTTTGATTGTTCAGGTAATAAGAATGTGCATGCAATTTGTGCTATTGGTGTTAATATTGTGAAACTGCTAATCTAGTTCTCCCTTACTAGGCTGTGGTGGTGTGCTTGGAGAAAGGATCCAATGCGTCTTATGCCCTCCAATGGTTTGAAAGGAATATAGACCTTCCATCGGTAATTATCTGCATTTGACTTATCAGTGTGACTGTAAAAGTTTGTTGATTTCTAAACTCCCATCTCTCCCTTATCTCTTACCTATCTCTCACCCAGACCCTGAGAGTCAAACTGGGAACAGTCGTGGCTCAAAAGGACATTTACCACCCTTTTATCCAGAGTTTCAGCTACAGCCGCCTTCTAGAGACCACCAAGACGTTTGTGGACGCATTTCTGGAAAAGAATCCCTCCGATTACCTTCTTAAGGTACCTGCTTATGGCTAGTATAAATACTGTAATTCAAGTTAATGTATCCACAATCACACAACAAAACCTGCAGCGTCAATTTTGTATTCTAAATTTATCCACCTCTGTGTCTGATTTAAAAATTGGCGTTGTTTAAATAAACTATTGATGTGATTCGCTAATTGACAATTTGTCACCAAATGAGTGGGAAGGACAAACCTGTCCTGTTCAGGAGGTCTGCCTTTATTTATGAAAGCCTCTGAAGTGATTTGCACAGTGGCTATTGACCAAGGTTATACTTTAAAGGCTGCTATAATGACAGGCCTCATTAATCCTGCTTTCTCATTAAGGCAACAGTTGAACCTGAAAGTTAATTGCTTAAGAAGAGCATGATCAGGTAATATTTAGAAACAAGATTAATGTGGTGCATGTTATGTCTTTTTGGTAATTAGGTGGCCACAAAGGCGGTGCAGTCTTCTGGGAGCAGAGACACATTCAAAGACAAAGAAGTGAAGGACAACTTTCAAACCACTGTGAAGTCCAGCACAGCTAATGTCAACAAAGAGTGTGTTTTTAACATTTACATCTTTATACTGGCAAGTTATGTACAGTAATCTCATCAGAGTTTTGGGGTTACCCCCTTGCCTTTTTAGATAATATCATTATAAGAATCTCACCTGCAAGAAGTATGCATTGTATTTTTTTTTTACACTTTTTATGCATGTTTTATTAATTTTATCCTGTTTTTTTTAAACAGGAATGAAGATAATACATTATTTGCTAGGTACGTGCATTAATATTTTTTACTTTTATTTTCATTCCACTAATAATTCCATGATGGAGCATAATGTGAATTTAAAAAAAATCCTCTGCTTATGTCTATAGATCAAAACGCAGACTTCTCGCAACTAGAATTTGTGACATATGGACCCCAGAAGCATGCAAAAAGCCCTCAGTTTGCCTTAAAAGACTGTCCAAGATTGGTAAGTGTTTGTCTGTTTGGGTACTAGTAAACTAGTTAGCCCAAAAGTGCAGTCATTCTGTTATTCAGCAGCATGTTGAAATATAGACGTGGACAAAATTGTTGGTACCCCTGAAGAAAAATTAACAATGGTCACTGAAATAACTTCAAACTGAGAAAAGCAATAATAAATAAAATAACCAATGAAAATCAGACACTGTTTTTGAATTGTGGTTCAACAGAATTTAAAAAAACAAACTAATGAAACTGGCCTGGACATAAATGATGGTACCCCTAGAAAAGATTGTAAGTAATTGGACAATAGGGACATGTTAAACTTAGGTGTGTCCTCTAATTGGCATCACAAGCGTCTTCAAACTTGTCCTTAGTCAGTCTGCCTATTAAAGCTGCCATTGTGCTGTTTGGTGACATGATACAACACTGAACATGGACCAAAGAAAGCGAAGTGTTAGCAGATTAGAAGAAAAATTAAAGACCATAAGACCATCTCCAAGCAGCGTGATGTTCCTGTGATTACAGTTGCACATGTTCTTCAGAAGTTTAAGGTCCACAGAACTGTAGCCAACCTCCCTGAATGTGGCCACAAGAGGAAAAATTATGACAAATTCAAGATATGGATCATACGAATGGTAGCCAAAGAGCCCAGAACAACCTCCAAAGAAATGAAATGTGAACTCGAAGGGCAAGGTACGCCAGTGTCAGATCGCACCATCCGTCACTGTTTATGCCAAAGTAGACTTCATGGGAGATCACCACTGTTGAGAGAAAATCATAAAAAATTGAAACGGAATTTGCCACAATGCATATTGACAAGCCACAAAGCTTCTGGGAAAATGTCCTTTGGACAGATGAGACAACACTGCAGCTCTTTGGCAAGGCACATCAGCTCTATGTTCACAGATGCAAAAATAAAGCACACCAAGAAAAGAACACTGTCCCTACTATGAAGCATGGAGGAGGCTTGGTTATGATCTGGGGCATCTGGCACAGGGTTTCTTGAATCTGTGCAAGGTACAACGGAATCTCAAATCTATCAAGTTATTTTGGAACAAAATGTTTGGCCTAGTGTCAGAAAGCTTGGTCTCTGTCATAGGTCAGGTCAGGTGGGTTTTCCAACAGGATAATGACCCAAAACATACAGCTAAAAACACCCATGAATGGCTAAGAACAAAACATTGGACTCATCTGTGAGCCCAGATCTCAATCCTATTAGACATCTGTAAGATGAGCTGAAGTATGCTGTGTGGAGAAGGCACTCTTCAAACCTGAGACAACTAGAACAGTTTACTCACGTGGAATGGATCAAAATACCTGTTGACCAGTGCAGAAGTCTCATTGACAGTTACAGAATTGTTTGATTTCAGAGTTTGCCTCAAAAGGTTGTGCAACAAAATATTAAGATAAGGGTACCATAATTTTTGTTCAGGCCAGTTTCATTATTTTGTTTTTTTTCTAATGATTGTGTTTAACCACAGGTGAAAAGCAATGTTTGATTTTCGTTGGATACATTTCGGAATTAAATAAATAAATAAATAATTATGTATGCATTTATTTATTTATGTGCGACAGGGACAGTGCACAATTTTTACATTAACCTTGGCAGGAGAGATGCATTATACCAGGTTGTAGCATCAGTGCTAATTTCCACCTGTAGTCCCAGGGCAGATTCATTGATTGATTTTATTTAACTGACCTTCGCTATCAACTGTTCTTGGACACCTTTGTAGCATGTTTTGGGTTATTGCTTTAGGTTATTTCAGTGATGATAGTTGATTTTTCTTTCATTGTCAGAGAGGTACTAACAATTTTGTCCACGTTTGTACATGTACTTTTTTTTTTCTTGCAGAGTTATCCCATCCACATTGCAATGTCAAGGAGACAGACGGCACAAACCTCAAAAAGCGAAAACCGCGCACAGTAAGACACAAGCTCCATATTTTCATCCATTGTCATTGTGGTTGTTCTGTTGTCATTCAATCCTATTTGTTGTATTTTGTTTAGAAATGGTCCTGGGAAGAAGACAAACAACTCATTGCTGGTGTTAAACGTCACGGGTTGGGGCAGTGGGCTCACATTCTGCAGGACTATGACTTTGGGGACCGCACTGGTGTCATGCTCAAAGACCGATGGAGAACCCTAAGGAAGGCCAGTGTGGTTTAAACTGGCAGAGATGGACTACATTTGTATAGTTTGTACAGGTTTACTGAAAAGTCATTATTGCCAGTTACTGTTTTTATAATATAGCCTTCTTTTCTTTATGCATATTTATTTTTTTTACTGAGATTACTTCAGTTCAAAACTTGGTGCACATTTTGCCATATTTTATAATAAAATTTATTTGTAGAATAAAAGTTCTGTGCAAAATATATTTATGGCTAAAGTGAAATGTTTTGCTATAAGTGGCAGTGACAATACATCATGCATAGTTGAAATTTGAAAAATCAGCAGCAATGACTTAATTAAAGATGAGCTCAACTGATTTAAAATGTTTGCTTTCAGTTGGCCTCTGCCAAAGCTCACAGACAGTGGTGTGATTGTTTATATCAGATGAAGACAAAACTGTGCTGTGGTGGACAGTTGCAGTGCTTGCTCTTCTGAACCTTCTTCCATGTCCCACTGCACTGAGGGCTCCCCAGAGCCTGCCAGTGGAGCACAGCTTCTCTGCAACACAAAACAAAAGTATACCTTATCATGACCATTTCATAGTGTTGAGCATCATGAATAATAAACATAATTTAAATGTAAGGATTGGCTGGATACTGCTAAATCTGTATCATTTTCTGTATATTTGAGCAACAGGGTCAAATATACTTTAGCCACAAGGGGGCAGCAAACTATGATGGGCCATTGTAGGCTTCGATCACAGCGGATGCTAAACTCGTCACTCTGGTTATATATGTTTGACTACTTGTGAAAGTGTAATTGGTGAACAATAGTAAAGAAAAAAGACATTAGCCCAAATAACAGCACAACGCATTGGCTTAACTTTCTCCGTTAGTTGTATTTTTGATGTAGTGCGCTTCAAGCTGTAAAGTCAGAGTTAAAATAATGTATTGTCTGGAGAAGAACACTTTCTAACCATAGAATGGCTTATATTAATATACCCTATAGTAGAATAACAGAAATGAAAATCTACCAGGATTTAGCTAATTGGCTAGTGTTAATAAGTCACATTGAGACTATATATGCGTGACGGGTTTATTGAAAATGCCTTTTGACCCGTCCCTGACAGATCCCACTCGGAGGCGTCATAACTTCATACTTGTGTGCGTCCAGTCCGTCTCCGTGGCACCTGGCGCTGCTGTTCCTCATGGCGGGGGGCTCGCAGGCCACGCACACCCGGAAGCCCTCTGTGATATAGCGCATCCACAGAGTTTGGGGCCGGTTCTGCAGTGCGCAGTGTGGCGTCCGAGACTCCAGCATGAACTCCACACAAAAGCTACCGAGGGATAGGCCCGTTAGGGTAAGATAACGACATCATTAGCTACTGGCATAGATTACAGGGTGTTAATCAAATCATATAATAGGAAGAATAGGTCTAGGCTAGTCCGGGGTGTCCAAACTATGGCCAAAATACGGCCCTCAGACCAATTTTTGTTGTCCCTCGGGTCTTATGCCATTATAATTGCCGCTACTTTTAGGATACTACAAATCTAAGTAATTCTAGCACTGTAACATCAATCAAACCCAAGTGGCATTGTGACACAGATCTGAAATTAATGTTCCCGGTCCTATTAAAGATACAGGGGCTCTATCAAATCTATGTTTCCATATGTGGCTCCTGGTGAAAAAGGTTTGGACACCCCCGGGCTAGTATAGATATCTAGATGGATGAACAGGTGTTGAAGAATAACTTTATATGATTTCTAGAGAGGTAGACAAGAGGTGCGTTAATGGATGAACATCATGTTATCACTTGTCACTTGTAATAATACCAGATGCAATGACTGAAACTACTTTTACTTGAGTCAGTATCTTGAGAAGTACTTCTACCCTGATGGGTCACAGTACCCATACTGCCAAACAGGCCTTTTATGCTCTATTCATGAGGCCGGAATCATTAAATTCAGGGTTTGATTTCAAAGGACTGTGGGCAGTCCCTCAGCATAGACTGTGTGTGGAGAGACATGCAGGTGAGCAAACACCTAACAGTCACTTCATGCACAGATCTTTGTTCCCTCTCATAGGTTTGGGTTACACTTTGTAACTGCAGTAGTGAACCTTTATTACTCCGGGGGGCGTTGTTGGGAAGATTTATAATAGATAAATGATGTGAATCTTACCCAGGGTGCAGGGGGTTTCCATAGCTGTCATACTTGGGTCTTCCCTTGGCAAACTCCATACTGGTGATAAATGCTGGACCTAGAGAGAAAAAGTTATGGTTAATCATTAATAGTATTATGCAAAGATGTGGTGAAAAGTGCACAAAAGTGGTTATTTGTAAGAGTTTTAAATAAACGTATTTCTTCATTTAGGCTGATAGGTGTTTTGAGAGATCTTACAATACATGTGTAGTATACAGTTTATCTGTATTTGTAATCTTGAAATGATGAGAAGTTCTGAAATCAAATCTTTACAATTGCAGGATTAGACTTGTGTCTTTGTAGAACTTTGTTGGTCTTGGTTGCTTTCTTTCTTTCTTTGTCTCAAATATTAGGAACAAAAACAATAATCTAATGTAAAATTCAACAAGTCACAATATGTTTGAGGAGTCGTTTTGCATTCTTTATTCTCACAATTTTAAACTCTGTGTCTCTCTTTTGTTTTTGTTTTTTAACTGCATCTTCAGACCACCACTTCAAAATGAGTGTCCTGAGTCCTCCTGACCTGAGTGGGCTGCACAGGGCTTGCCCTTGTTGTCTCTGTACTGTATGCAGCCTGCCCTCTGCTCCAGAGCGGGGCAGGGCTCTCCGTTGTTTGAAGGCTGTCTCTCTGTGTGCCGCACACGGACTCTCATGGAGGGCTGGCACTGTTTGGCACAACCACTCCAAAAGCTCCACTCGCTCACCGCACAGTCCTGAGCTGGTAAGACATCACATATGAATATCACTAAAACATAAGACAGTTAAAATGGAAGTCATAACAAAGAACTTTAAACTTTTAAAGGTGCACTATGTAACTTTTCTTGCCAGGGGTCCGTCACCAACCTGCCTCCGTGAAGAAGTTTTTGCTTTGTTACATTGTATTAAACTATTGCTTTTATTGTTTTTTTTTTTTTTTTAGGTAAAATAATAACATCTTATTTGAAACGTGGAGGTGGGCGGCAGACCCCCAACAGAAAAGTTACATAATACACCATTAACCCCCTAAAGATAATATTGCCTGAAATATGAAAATATAAAGAAAGAAGATGTCATGCACACACATATTGCTTTCCTGAGATTACAGTCACAGTGTGATTATTAAACTCCAGGAAACCAGCTTTGTTCAGTGAACCATTGATTTAAATGTAGCAACAGGGCACTGAAGTCAGGCCAAAGGGGCAGTCGTGTGATGTCCATAACCCCAGCTTTTATAACCACACTTTGAAGTTCTAATCATCAGTCATTACCAGTGTGGAGCAAATATTGTTTTAGCTACATTCTGTCTCTGATTGTTACTGTAACAGTCACTATAAGAAATGGCATTCTTTAAATATTTGGACTAATTCTATTATGTGGGTCTGAGAAACAAGGTTAGACACTGGACTGCTAAGGTATTTAGTGGTAAGATTATTACAGTACACTGCCTTGACTGTACACAGTTGGACAGTGTAATCATTGTGTTTTATAGATACAATATGCTTGTTATCACAATCCCATTTACAGACCGCAATCACCTTTGATCTGTCAGATTGATCACAAGTCCCAGTTACCCAGAAACTCCCAATTCAACAAAATTTTTGAGAAAAATTACATAATCCATAATCCAACTTTTATTGAAAAAATTTATGTAGCCTATAGGTTGAAGAAGAATTTGAAGGTGTAAAGTATTGTCACCATACTAAAATTTCAAACTCGACTTCAATACGAAGTAAAGATCTTGATATGTGAATAAAAAATACTTTTTTCTGAAAATATTATATAATTTTTCAAGTTATGCAAAACTTTTGTAAAAAATAAATAAATAAATAAATAAATTGTATTTTTTCAATCTAGTTTTGGTAACAATATTTTTGGACAAATATAGAGAAGTATGCACAGCCAGGTTGCATGGACTTTCCTTATTTACACAAAAAGTATCACTCATATGAGACAATTCTGAACATTTCCTCCCCTTGTAAGCCCACCGTTGCCATGGCCACAGCACTAATACACTTGACCTCTACCGTCTTTTCATACATGACAACACATTCTTATCTATTCGGCAACTTGGTTATCTGAAACAACAGCTTATCTATAGGCATGTACACACCTATAGATAATTCCTTTAAAACTAACCTGGGCATTCATTGAAGTAGTCAAAGCAGCAGTCCCTGGTTTGCCCACAGCCCTCATCGCAGTAGCACGTCCCGTAGACTCTATCCATCCTCCAGTCTGTTGTCAGGCAGTTCATATCTCTTCCCCTGCAACATTTACCTGCACACCCTCCCAATGCACACTGTCCCAGAGAATACAGCACAAGAAGCAGGTACACCGACTCCACAGAGCTGCTCATTGTGAAAATGTTTTAAACTCTTGGCTCAAGTCATAGCCGAAAGAAGAAAAAGCAGGAATTATAGCAGCTCCTTTGTAAACTGGAATTCTTCTCCTCTGTTTGTCCCAATTGCAATTCCTGGAAAACCTTAGAGCACCATTATTTCAGCTCTCATCACAAAGTTCTTCATGTTGTACTATGCATGTAGCTCCTTCTCCTCCCCTCCCACTGCTGTCTGACAATGAGCACGAAGGAGGGGTCAGCTACTCCCAGATACTCCAACAATGTTTTCATCAGCTAGATTTATTAATTTAGTAACTTTTTTTCCCCTTTGCAGACCACACTGGCTTTCTTGTCCGCCTTTTCCTGGCCATTCTTTGCCATCACAAATCTCTAAACATCCCCAAAGAGAAAGGCAGGAATGTGCTCACTTTGGCAGGTCTCCAGACAATTGTGCCAAGGGGGCCAGTGCAAAACAGTAAGCCACCCTTTGCTTGTTGTCACCTCCATGGGTTGTTATCGAAAATCTCCCTTTTCTATTTGCAAAGAATGTTATACTTTATCTTACATCTTGTTGGGATTATGATTCAGTGTGTACAGTGGCATTGCTTGCATACCGCAGGTGAATATTTTCAGTGTCTTTGGTACACTGGTGTCAGCTCCCTGCACTCCCTGTCTAGAAGACTTGACATTATTTGCAGATCTGGGAGTAACCTAATTTATTACTCGGTACAGGAAGCTGTAAAATAAGATGTTAAGTTTCAACTAAACTTAATTACTACATACATTTAGGTTTATATTAAAGCTGCACTATGTAACTTTTTATAGCTATAGTTTGCCAAAAATGTCCCAGAGTATGTCATTAAACTTATCTATATGGAGACAAGGTGGCGCCACAAGGCAATTTTACAGTAAGAATGCATGTTTTGCTGAGTTTTTTAGGCAGCAAAAACACCTGTAATTAAATAAATTCTCAATATTTATGCCATATTTTGAAGCATTCAGGGGGATGCAAAAACATCTACAAGGAGACGAGCAGGTGATGGACCCTCCACTACAGAAGTAACATATAGTGCACCTTTATTGTTACAATCTGGTATTAATGATCCATTCATCAATAGCATAAACTTAATGCTTCTGATTGCCCTTCTGATAGCTTAGGGGTAAAAAGTTTTAATTAAATACATGACAAAACCCTTGTTTTTAATTATGTCCACTAAAGTTGTTGCTATGCTGACCTCTAGTGTCTGGAGTTGGTCTGGATACATCAAAACAATTTCTCCTTTGACCCACATGTGACCTTACTGATCAGCAGGAGATAAACTACTCTGAAAAACAACTGTAAATTAAACCTACAAATACTGCAGATATTTGTAGAAAATCATGGCAGTGAATGAAATGACTTATTAAAACAAGATAATTCATTTTTTGTCAAATTCAAATAATAAAAGGTGCATTTAAGCTTTCATTGTAGATTCTTTGATCCACATTTTACCCTGAAGTGGTTCTGGTGAAGCAGCACTAACAGCTTTCATCCCCGCTATGTTCATCATCAGCAGCATCACTGACCTCCAAGTGCTTAAGCCAGTGTACATGTAAGCTACAACAGTTGAACTTTGGCCCGGCTACACTACCGAATGCACGTGCCACATGATCCTTTGGCTCTCTATTATAGCTCATAGACAACCATTGACCAGTTGCTTCTATGGTGTGTTTTTAATGCAGTGACAACCTTTTAATTTAGATGCATTAAAAGAATGTGGCCAGTGTCATGTGAGGCTCATCTTATCCTCTGAGTTTGCTTTGGACTGAGGGAGTTGAAAGTAAAGATCAAATCATGTGTGCTGTACAGTTGACAGACTCTGACCCCCAACCTGCTGCACCTGTCAGACTCAATCACACTAATTATAAACATATTGATGCATTGAAAAAATGTTAACCAATGTATTTTTTTAAAATGACAAATAACTTTTCAAATACAGGACACTTTATTCATTTTGGCTTTCTCATTTCAGCATAATCTATAGTATGTCGTTTGCACAGTAGACTTTTCGTTATGTAAAAAGTTATGGGAATCAAGTGTCCAGTGTGGAATTCAAAGAAAACTTTCACTTCTGCCTTGTGTTTCCAAAAACAACACATTCCAACATGGACAGATTTAGCTAGATAGCATCTTTCAGCTTCAAAATAGTACTGGTACAAGATATGGTGTACATCTAGTGTGACATTGGTGTTGACTTGATCTCTCTATCTGTTAAAGCACAAACATTTTTACTGTAAATACTGCTAAAAGCTTAAAGGTAGTAGGCCTATACAATAGCATTGCACTTTGTCTGATTTGTAGTACAATGAAAATGTCAACAAAAAGTGAAGAGTCTGATATAATGGGTATGACCCAAAATAGAAAATGTAACCAACATTTAAATCATATAAAAGTTTCTATAACTGTCAATAAATCAACACCTTAACCTTACAGTAGTTTGAAGTGTAATAAATAGACCTATCTGATATGAACAGGTTTATGCGAACAAGTTCATGAAATATTTTATGAAGTGTCTACTCCCTTTAACAAGAGTGTGCACTGTACATTATTCTGAGCAGCTCAAAAAGTAGGCCACTGGCACATGTGGATTAGAGTGACACTGGAGTACCCATTGCATGAGTAACATACTAGTAGGTATCATGTCTACTGACTAATAATTAGGACTTTACATGTGTCGGTTTACAAAGGAATTGGATTACAGCACATGGAAGCTACACTAGACATTATAATCTTTTGAACAAGCTAGTCTACTGTCAAGTTTGCAGCAGTATTTTTTTCTGTTTTTTCACATCGCCTGTGTGGGGAATGTAAACAGTTTCTCATCTCCATGGAAACATATGGCCTAGGTAAACGTCATTTTAATGGTTTGTTGACCAAATCCTTACTGCCTTTTGATCTTAAAAGGAAATGTAGACACTGTCCTTTCTGTGTATTTCTTACAATGATATATTTCAACTCATAACTCATGTTGTGAACACCTGGATAAACAACAGTACATATACAGTACATTATAGGTCCATAAGGGCTATGAACGAATATAATATGAATAAATGTCTTTGTCCACAACTCTGACATTTATGGCAGAGTTGACTCCTCCTTTTCTGTAAGTTAGTAATTAATTAGTGTGTGTATGTATGTATGTTTGGAGTGTGTGTAATGAAAAAGGGCTACACAAATACAAGCTACTTTGACTCCATTTGTAGGATGTTTGATGGTAGTAATCTGAGTATGTGACATCAGTTTATGGGGCTGGTTGTTTCTGAATGACCAAGCTCTTTTACCCACAATGGAAATTGATATTTGGGCTTACCTCAATAAATTGTGAATGTCATTACTGTTGACTGAGAATGTATGTCATGCTCTTGGTGCCACCTTCTAGAAACAAAACAAACAAAAAAAACATAAAGGTGACATAGGAAGGAGGAGGATTTTCTAATCAAGTGCACATGTAAGGGTGGGTTGTCATAGGATGTTGATCTGTCCCACCTAAAAAGGAATGAAACAAATTAGAGTATGTTTGACATTGAATTTCATAAATCTCATTAAATATTAAGAGCAGTGGAAGTGTTGCAAACCTTGATATGCCTGTGAAATTATATTAATCAAATCTGCACCATAGCAGGCATTTCTAAGAAAAAAATGTAAAGCTGAAAGCTTTGATCAAATATTTTCAAGTACTTCCGTAGAGTGATTCAATATCTTTTGTCACACAGCTTAAAATTTGCATAGTTCTGTTAAGTTAAATGTTAGACAGGTAACAGATTAAAAAAAAAAAAAACTTGTTCTTTGTTATTGTAGTTTATTCTATCACTTTATTTTATTTTTTCAAGACAATAATTCCATGATATTGAAATTAAATAAAATATTAAGACATTGTGTTTATTATTGGAACAACTTTACAAGAATCGGCCGATAGAAGCACCAAAGTGTCGTCTAAGGTCATCCAGACGAGTTCACCTGAGTTCTGGTGAAATGATATACGCTTGTGGGCAGCCTCTGTGCGGCGCCTGTTAAAGACACAATTGTGTACTGTTTGTTCTGAGCCATTTTGTTTCACTCCAAATAAAAAGGACAGTAAAACCTCCAGAAGAGGAGCCACAGCCAGGCTGGAGGGCTCTGCTTTCTAGGTCATAGTCACTGAAACAAGGAAAAAGGAACACAAATTACAGGCACTACTGTTTAATAAAAAATAAATGTACTTTTTTTTTATTTCAGGAAGACCTTTACCAAGGCACGATAATGGCTATGCTAAACATGCCAGACACTGGTATTATGATCTGACGCAGCAAATTTAAATGAATTTGTTTATACATTTCAAAAGCTAAACATGTGCTGCATATCTGTAACATTTTAATAAAACAGTCAGAAATATGGCAATATCACATAAGAGCATTTAAGCTTCCTAAAAATAAATGTACTGTCATGCAGTAAGGTGTTGTGTTGTACAGTCCAACTGCCACCAGAGGGTGTCAAGAGTCCCAGAATGTGAAGATTAGCCATGTTACACAGAAAACTAAGATCATAGATGACAGAATAGCTGTCAGAGCGAGCCACTGAAAGGAGCAGGGTACTCTGGGTGTTTTATTGAGTTCAGACAGCCTTGGCACAGAACTGGACGTGTTGACCCTCGGGTGCAGTGGTGATTGTCAGGAGGCCGGTTTGCGAGGCTTCTTCATCTTCTTCAGCCTCTCCTGTCGCACAGTCTCACACTGAAGAGACGACAGCTCTGATATACGATGCAGGAAAGACTGAGGAGCACCAATCACGGGGTCTGCGTACGTCTGGACTAGAACACAGAGGGAAAGATACACATGGATTACAATGAAGCACTGAGGAGACTAATGTACAGAATGTGGCCCATTTCCACTGAAAATCAGATAAACATTTGTACATACATATCGCCAAAAGCAGAATTACAAAAATTATAGAAAACTGAATGGAATTGAAAAAGGTATGGGGCTATAAGCCTGTTCAAAGGTTTCAGGTGAATGCCAGCCTGATTTGAAGGACTTGACATGATAGCAGTACACCACTGTTATGGCACTATTGCAGTTCAAATCTAAATATATCTTGAATAAAGAAAGGTCATAAAGTCCTTCAAATCAGGAAAGAATCATTGCTTGAAACCCACATATGCACATAGACAATGACTTACTCTTTTGGGTCTCCTTAACAGTCTGCAAGTGGTAGGTTGGGTAATTTGCCTTTGACCTAATGACATAAAATAAAATAAAAAGTTTATGTTCTTACTTGGGAACTGGGAAGTGGGAATCTATTGCTCATGTAAGTACAGGTACCTGCTGAGTTTGCAGTTTCCCACGGGGAAGGTGTTTCTGCCATTGAGGACAAATGTGGAAGGAACAAGAATGGCTGGACTTGTGGTCAATTCAAACTGTTCATTGCAACTGCAAAACAAAGACATTTAAAAGGCTTGTTAAGTGGAGATTTTAGCATACATGCATGTGGTTAATGGTAAATTCACATTATACTAAAGGATGCCTACTCAAGGACAAAAGGTCCACTCTTGTGGCTGTGGGTTAGTCCCCTGGGCAGGCTGAGGGGATGCAGGTTGGCTGGTCGATGCACGTGATAATCTTTTGGCAAAGGAGGAATCATGGATCTGGTTCTCTCTGGCCTTACACCTATTAACACGGAAGGTAAGAAGCACAATGAAAAGAGATGCTTTCACTCAGGTCAGCGCACTGCATCATTGCTAAATAATTAATCCCTTATTAAGCCCTGTGTCATCATGTGTGAAGTGCTGATTTGCCTTAAACGCCCCAGGTGACAGACCATTTTGGGTAGTATAGTGACATCTTGCGGGTGTTAATGTAAAGTACAAGTGCAATTTTACTGCATAGTACCACTAAAATTCTAAGGACACAAACTATATTAAGCTAATTATTACAACATTGCTGTGTACTTTGGTTATAATAGAGGCTATATACTTACAGTGGGTATCAAACAAAAAGTGCCTTCCACAGATGTTCCTCTCATGTTCACTGCTGTTGGCCTGTGGTGGGTCATCTTTGGCTAATCGAGGAGATCTAAAAATATTCAATGTTAGAGTTTGGGAGCTTGACAGCTTATACGGTGCGCGCGATGCCCAAGCCCCACCGACCTGCAGTGAAATCTATGCCTCTACTACGAAAAAGTAGTCTAATTAAACTCATCGATTGGCTCAAATGCAAGACATGAACAATTTCTTACCCTCCAACAATGAATGTAGTGAACAAGGACTTTTGATCTCTCGGTTCTACGACAAAAAAAATAGATTTCCGTCATTGCACATAACCTCCCCATCCAAAGCTAGCAATGTGTAGTTACATTAATGCAGATGCAGAAGTCAAACCAGGTAACGCTCTGCCCTGCTGTGAAAAGGCGCGTACTCACTGCTCAAAGGCTGTATGACGGGAAACCTCTTGAGCTGAATGTTGTGTCTGACAGCTGCATGTCCTCCAGATGCGCCCATCGTCCGGAGCTCCCTGAAGGCGGCGGGATACTGAGGCACATCCGGGCCGCGCAGGCTGCAACTCGAGCCTCCCTCTGCAGCTATCAAGACCTTGGCTGTAGGAACCGCTGCCGTTTTAACCTGAAATGTCATCATGTTGGAGTTGCCATTGAAGCTAGGCCAGATAAACTCTCACGGCGATAGCAAAACGCCAACACGCTACACCGATCAGAGGCTCATTAGTACGGCTTCTTTAACGCTGGTTTTCAGATCACGGCCGTAAAGCGCTACCGACTCACTACGTCTCCATGGAAACAAGTCTTCGCCACCAGGACCTACAGAGCAATGACTTCATCTTTCTAAAGTGGCCTCATCAGTATATTTGAATGAAATTTCAATACCACACCAATAATACTGTACACATTTGGAAGAAATGTCACAAAACTACATTTACAAATTCAAAATGCCCAAGCCATGTCACTGAATCAGTAATGAAAAAAGTCAGTTTGAGAAGCACTAGCCTACGAAGTATATGCCTCAACCTCTCATGGCCTTATTAAAAGTCAAGCTATATTGAAGTATTGAGTGATTTGTTTTGCTCATCAAAAAAAGAAAAGGCTACACAAGTGTTTTTAGATGTTTTATTGTACAATTTGAGTCCACTGAAACCTGAAAAAGAAAGACCAAAGATTAAGTACAACTCCACAACAATTCTTTTAACATGCCAAAATGTATAGCTATGTGGTTTCAGACAAGTTTGGCTTAGGTTAGCATAGTTTCACCATGGTCGATAAGATGGGGAAAAAAGATTATGCATCATTAACCACATTTTGAAGCCATTTCATCTCAATCTTCAGCTCACCATTTTCTCTAGTTCATCCTCCTGATCATTCTGTTGATCTGGTCCTCCCTGTTTCCAGCATCTCCACCCTCCACAAAGTGTGTGGTCTTCTTGTTCATACCACCACGAGGAGAGGACAGTTTGAAGGGCCACAGGAAGTTGTTGGCAGGCTTGAAGTTCTTGCCAACTGTGAAGATTTCGTGGATGAGGTCCTCAATACAGATGATACCGTATTTGCCTGGAAATTAAAAGTCATGCAAAAGTACAAAACCAGTAGTAATGATTACATAGCAATTAACAATGGACAGATAATATTAAAGCTGGGATACTTGATTTTCATTTGTCCAACTCAACCCTAGTTATAAACAAGTAATTTTAAAAAAGTTGCTTACTATCCACATGCATTAATTTAAGGAGCACATGCATGAATTTTTTTCCAGACATTGTGAAACTGGGATGAACTAGCCAAGCACAACCAATCAGAACACTGCTTACTGTATAAAGTTGGCAAGAAATTAAACCATTAGCAGCAGACAGTGTGCTGCAGTGTAATTTTGTCAAAGGGCAGCTTTTACATGAAATTTGCTCAATTACATAAAGTCTGGTACAGCAGTTTCAAGATTCACAGTTTGTGGTTTCAGAATAAACTGGCTTAGTTTGTAGTTCTCACCAAAGTCGATAAGACGGGGAAAAAAAATTGTCATCATAAACCACTTCATTGTTACTATTCTTAAAGTACATTTCAAACAAGCAAACAAGGTTTTAACCTTACCAAGGGCCTTCTCGATGAGGGCGTTGTCTGTGAGGGCAATGCGCTGCTTCCTCATCCTGCCATGACCACGTTTGTAGATGAGCTCACGCACAGACTTCAGGTTGGGATACCTGGAGAAATGCATAACTTGAGTTTATTCAAGTTATTGTACAATCGGATGCTCAAATTTGATCATTAAAAAAAAAAAAAAAAAAAAAAAAAAAAAAGAATGGTATGGTTTCAGACAAAATTGGCTTAATTTGAGTAATCATCATGGTCGTTATGACGGGGAAAAAAGTACTACATCATTAACCACACTCCATGGAAAAGTTCACTGATACTTTGCTAAGTTTTGATGCCTTACCCCCAGGCGATGTAGGGTTCTGCGATCCTCAGCATGTTGATGGAAGCCTTATTGAGCTTGACAAACACACCATTGAAGATCTGGCGCAGACGGAGCAGCTGCAGGACTTTACGGACTTTCGGGCTGACACCGTTGATACTAGACAAAAGTGAGAAGAAGAAGTGAGCAAATCTGAACTGTTGAAGAAACATCTTCCCATTTTTAATTGAGTGGTTTCAGAAAAGTTGGCTTAAAAGAACAATTTGTTTCACCATAGTCGATATGTCGGGGAAAGAATGCATCATCAACCACATTAAAACAATATTTACAAAGATTTATAAAGCACTTAGATGTGAATTAGGTTTTATCTGGCAATGCACTTGATGAATCAAACACTTCCAAGTTGCTGCACTTACCCTCTGATCCTAATGACAAAGGCCAGTTTGGGCTCAGATGGCACATAGAAGTTTCCCACTTTGCGCGCTGTACGAGCCAAGCGGATCTCCTTTCTGTACATCTGCCTGTACTCCTTGTGGTACTTCTCAGCCCTCTTGTAGATCAGCTTCCTAGTTACTTTACGGGCCTAGTCGGATGCAAAATTTATCGTTAGGCATAAGACGAGCGTTGACTGTTGCCGTCGTGTTGGCTTCATCCTCCCAGCGTTCAGCATGCACTTACCTTTTTGTCAGCGAGGAGCTTCTTGATGCGCATGGCCTTCATTTTGGCAAAGGCCTTTCGCCTTTTCAAAAGGCTCTCAGGGACCGCCGGGACCTTTTTTCTGGTAAGAAACACAAAGAGTGAGGAAGCAGTTAGTGCGGACAGTAAACGAAGCAAATTAGAGTAGAATGTGCCATCATGAACTCAGAAGCTAACCCGTCACTAGCCGGCTCGCGTTATGAGTACCGGCATTTCCTTTACTACAGTAAAGCAAATAATTCGGATAAAGGTGATCACCAAATTACTCGCATAGCATTAATACAGTTGCAGTAAAACCTGTGACTTGTTGACATTTTAAGTACATGTGGAAACTAGCGAGAGCCATGTTTTACTTGGAGCTGTGTAACAAGGTAGTACAGCCACAGAAGCTCAGCAAACTTCTAAATCTAAGGTTTAGTCACAAATACTTTTAGAGAGCGCAAGTATACCAACGATACCATTCATACAGATCACAAAATAAACTAAAACGTTTATTTAAACACAAGATGGGCATAGATTTTGTGACAGCGGTAAACACTCACTCTGTGTCCGCCATTGTGTCCACCGAGAAAGAGAAATCTATAGCTGCGCATGTGCGCGTTAAAGGTTTAGAGGACCCCACGAGCCGCCCTTCACAATGCCTTTTCATTCCATTTTATAAAAATAGAAAGGAAAATACAACCAAAATCATGGCTTTATCTTGCGGGTGAAATAACGTATTAACTACTGTTTTTAAAAATTCTCGTTTATAACAACATGGTTTTCCTCTTCAAGTGCTCGTGTAATGTACGCAATTAAACAGAAGAGGGAGCAACTCTCCCATTCACTATACCAAAATCAAGGGGAGCTTCTCAGCAGTGGACTTTGAACTACATTATTATTCACATCGTTGCAAGACTGTTGAGCACATTTAGGAGCTATGAGTTAAGTATAAGTTAAAATATAGCCTACGTTGGAGAAATTTGACTAATTCCATCATCGGAATACAAATTCTGATACTTTATGTAAGAAGCAGCCTTTCTGGTCTGTCACTGTAATGTTTCATTTTGATAATTGCATTTTTTAGAACCTGTTCTGTAAGCCGAATGCTTTTGCACCAAACCGGTTGGAGGGAAACAATTCAGCTGATCCTAGATGTTAATGTGCGCCTGGATTTCGGCCAGCACTCAGTGCGTAATGAGCAAACCCCGTTGAAGTACAGCCAAATGTCTGCGTAAATCTTCAGTCAAACATGATCTTATGATAGACCACTCATGCCCAGAAACATTAATTTATGAAGCAGTTTATTTTTGCGCTGCTAATTTAGATCAACAGAAACTTGGTGACTTGTTGATGCGTATGGACTAGTCTGATGGCAATCTTATACCAGATACCCTAGTGCAATCAACAGCTCCAAGAATTAAAAACATTTCAATTAATTTAATAAAGTAAATCCTCTGGGGTTACATCACATTTAATGTACGTACGTGGTTGCGGAGCTTTACTTATGACAAGCGCCTAGTCTCAGTCCTATTGGGTCCTAGCTCTGATGGGTGGACTGAATAAATAGGGAGCGCGATGTGCGTAAGGATGAGTTGAGTGGAGGAGCAGCAGAGGAAGCGGTGTGTCTTGAAACAGCTGCTCACAGATCTGTCCAACTCCGCTTGGAAACAAGAGCGAGTGGTTCACTCTGAGCGCATTTACGCACGGTATCTACAAGTGTTTTTAAGGGCTCCGGCAAATAATTTGCACTAAGATTGGCTTTATTACCTCCACTGAAAGCTAGAAATGATGATTATCCTCGCGGAGTTCTTCGTGGTAATTCTCAAGGTACTTTGGGCGTTTGTGGCCGCCGGGGCCAAATGGGTGGTCAAACCAAAGGAGAAGAGCGTAGCGGGACAGGTGTGCGTGATCACCGGTGCTGGCAGCGGCCTCGGGCGGCTCTTTGCAAAGGAGTTTGCTCGGAGACGGGCCATTCTGGTGTTATGGGACATTAACAGCCAGAGCAACGAGGAAACGGCGGAGATGGTGCGCCAGATTTACCACGAACTAGACTCTCCTGTGGTTAAAGACGGTAGGTGTGAAGTGTGTTACATAGAGGTATGTTGGTAGTCACGGTCAGCGGAAACGTGTTACTTCTAATCTGGTTCGGGTTGCGTTAAATGCAGAAAAAAAGATGCTAGACTGATCTGTCTACATGAAGTGAAAATTAAGACATTTTTTTGAACCTGAAAATGTTTTCATTTTTAATGTTCTCGTTTTCCTCCACTAGGACCTGTCGGGGGAGTGGAGGAAGTCCCACCATTTCAGCCGCAGGTCTACACCTACGTGTGCGATGTGGGCAAGCGGGAGAGCGTTTACTCCACGGCCGAGAAGGTGCGCCGTGAAGTGGGAGAGGTGGACATACTGATCAACAACGCCGGTGTGGTCTCCGGGCACCATCTGTTGGAGTGTCCTGATGAACTGATCGAACGCACCATGGTGGTCAACTGCCATGCGCACTTTTGGGTGAGTTTACTGATATTCGATTTTAATGTTATTAATAGTCATGAAATGGGGGGCAACAGGTGTGCATACTGTCCCAACTCTTTCTTATAATTATGTATATTTATCTGATGCAGTTAGATTTCCACGTTTCTTTCTCATCAAAAAGGTATTCTGCTATTCCAAACCGCATTTCTATAAGATTTCCCTCTGAGATTATGACACTGATAGGAACAGGATTTTCATGTTGGTTTAGTTGTGGATCTAATTTTAAGGTGGTAGTGCTTGTGGTGTTTACTGAATAATGTTCCCTAAATATTTCAGAGGCACACGATGAAGGAAGTGGTGCACTACTATTAAATCACATTTTTCAAGGGCATTTTAGAATCATTTTTGTATTGACACAGAATCTTCCTTGCATTGTCAGTGTAGATTTTTTTTTTTTACTCATTCCTTTAAGCCCCCCACCCTTTGTGTTCCTAATTATGTAGTCATGAGAATTGATCAGATTGCCTGGCAACAGTTTCTCCCACGGTGACTGCACACAAATTGGTTTGTGTAACTCTGATGCTTGCCCCACACCTGTCTGAAATGCTCTTATGCATCGTTCATTGTATTGTGTGACTTATGATGAAGAGATGTGCACATTTCTTTATTGCAGTCATCTCATTGTGTGGTAGTTTTTTAAGGGGGTGTCTGTTTGTGTTCTCTCATTTTGGGTAGAGGGTGTGAAGGAACAGATGAAGGAGGCATTTAATGAGTAGCGACAGGCCGAATGGAAGATGTGGTTCATTAAAGACACAAGCTCCATGAATAGAGATTAGGCTGAAGAGGGCCTGTCAGCTTTCTGCCTGTACACACATTTACTGTACTGCTGGCTCAAGTTGTTATGAGTAAGAACTCCTCTCCAACTTTTCCTATCTAGCTTTAAATTTTTGCAATTGGTGTGCATTATCTGAACAAGCTGTAATTTAGTTTGTACTATTACAAGAAATCATATCAATTTGAACTGCTATTTAGTCGCATATCTGAAAGTATTGTACATATATTTTATTGTTTTTAAATGTTGTGCTTGTTGTAAAGGTGCACTGTGTAACATTTTACCACCTGCTTGTTTCCATGGGGATTTAAATCCAAATTAGTTTTTTTCATCCCTAAGGGGAAATTCTTTCCATTACAAACATGCATGGGGAAGAGCAGGAGGTGTACCCTCTGAAAAAAAAAGTTACAGTGCACTTAATTTTAAATACATCTTAATATGTGCACTTTACTATCAGCCTGTTCAAAGGCCCAATTGACATCCCAATATAATCAGATGGTGGGTGTAGATGCCAGACTATGATTCAATCTCATTCAGTCTTGTACTATAATAAGCATGGGGTCATCACATTTAATTTGGTAGTTTCATTACTCCAGCCTGCAATTTGTGATCAAGCCATTTTAGCATTTAGTCATAGCGACGCA